ATCTCGCAGGGTCTTCGGGGAGAGGGGGGGGGAAAGGAAGGGGCATTCTTGAAGATTGCAGCCAGTGGTTGTGTGCAACTATGGGTAAAAGTGATCAAAGGTAAATCTAAATCTATAGTCAGTTGGTCTAATTATGGCTCTGCCTCTGGAGTGCTTGGGTGTCATAAAAAAGGTAAATGTTTACGTGTGTTCTTGCGTAGTTCCTGTCTATAAGGTAAACTGCTTTGCTCCCTCATGCAGGTACATGTAAGGAGCTGATTCTCTTTTAGTAGAGTTTTTAGTGGAAGGATGAAGACTGCAGTATAGGTGGTAATGTATTGCACTGCATGGAGTAGGATTTTTTTTTTTTTTTTAGGCAAATAATGTAATCAAGCGTATCATTATCTTACTATATTACTGGGGCAGTTTCATCATCATTCTCTTCCTATCTACTGGTCAGTTGCACAGAATAATGATGTGAAAACTCTGCTGGAGAAACACTCTGGATGCTCTCATGGTTACTAATCGTTAGATATAAGTTGATATTTAACTCTGATGATGTTTACAGTCACTTAGGTTTTCCATCTTGGGTTCTCAGAGTTCTTTCTGTGTAAAAAGTTTTGTATATTTTATTCATGTGACTACAGGAGTTTAAATTTCATTCACCAATTGGTTTTAAATTTTTTGCATTCATAACTTGCACTCACTGCATCGTCTGATGCCCCAGGCATATGCAAGTAATGGTTTGTATTTGGGGGCACCGAGCCTCGTCTTTTCTGTATAACGACAGGTAACCTGTGTATTTGTTTAATGACAAGGTCGTATCAGTCACAGAATTTCTTTCAGAAAATGCCCTGTAAATGCAAGTTGCGCGTAGAGAAATAAAAGTTTTAAGAAGCTTTCTGTATGCTACGTCACTGAAGAGCATTGCATGCTTAGTTCACCTGGACATGGCACTTGTGTGCCAAACCCTGGGGTTTTGTCTGCTGCAACGGATCCCAGAACTGCAAGCTGGATGTAGTCTGTGAAGTACCTGGAAAAAAAGCATCACACTGTGCTCTTTTGATGACTTAACGCATTTGATGAGTTAAAACTACTTCTTAAATTTCCAAGTCATTGAAGTAAATCATATATTTAGAATATAATTGTAGCATTCTTGTCTCTTTTATGTTCCATCTTATCGGCAGAGATTGTGAATTATGTTGATGATAGCTTAGAAATTAGAGTGCTGTCTTGCGTTTTACAGGGCTCCTCGGTAAAACAGAAACGATTGGCAGTAGTGCTGTCTCTCAAAAAACTCACTGCTTTTTTATATAGTAGCAATTCTCACCTCAGCTGCTTTTCAAACCTGTAAAAGAAATGTATCTACAAGGGATTTCTTTAGTATTTGCTTGCCAAGACCTCTAATGCAAGGAAGAGGTGTACCTCATAACTTATGGTCCTTTTCTGAACCATGGACAGGAATTTATGCTGTCAGTTGGTTTTGGTATTGGTGATTACAAGCAGAACATAATTCTGTTTTCCCTTTTTTTTTCTGAGCATGGGGTGTGTTCCATCTCTAGCTTTAATGTGTTGGTGACATCTACAGCTATTTAAGGGGAAGCACAGGGGCTTGGAAGAGATCCCCACATACTTTTGTGTTAGGTGAAGAAACAGTCTTTCCTTTCTACAGTGAAGGAAAGTAGCTGAATTAGGAACAATTATTATGCTATATTTCATTTACATGGGTGGAGTGTGTTAGTAGAGAACCTGTTACTGATACACAGATAATAAAGTGTGATACATCTTGCTGTTCTAAGATGATGTGTTAAAGGGCATTGCGAGGCAGACCACTAATGCTTTTTCTTTTTTTCTTTTTCAGAAACCAAGTGCTAGAAATGTTTGATCATGCGTATAGCAATTATATGGTAAGTAAAATACCTGTTTGTTTATTTTTTTTGAGTTGTTATTGCTGACCTGGGAGAGAAAGCGACCTACAGTACATGATGTTCTAGAGAAACAGCAGGAGGTAGGTGCAAAAACAAAGCTAAAATAAATAAGAGCACCTGTATAGCCTTTAAAAAGAAACGAACAAATGCTACTTTCGGGAAGAGCAGTGTCAGGAGGGTTGTGATGGCTTTCAGAATGGTAGCTGGGAATTGCTAGTGGTAACTCTGTTAAACTGATTTGAGAAAGATCAGGTACAGATTATCTCATATAAAACTGTGAACAGTTTTCATCTTTGGCAAACTATTTGGTTTGAAATTCCAGACTCCTCAAGATACTAGGAAAAGGAAGCTCAAGAAGAGCTGTCTGTAGTCATCAGATTCTGCAGAATACACATTGATCTTACTTATTTTGTAGGTAAAAATTATGTACAATACTTCTTCTGTAGTAAGAAATGTTAGATGCAGTTTGATAGCTCTTTTACAAGCAAACACTGTTTGAAGATCAAAAAGCGGATCTGGTGCCCTCATAGCCTCTTCCGAGTTTGTGACTGTCGTATGACAGTGAGCCACGCTCACTGTGGTTTCTTTTAATATGATTTGTGATTTTCTGTGCAGGTGTCTTCATGTTCTGGATATGGGAGCCATTCTGCACTCTAATCAACCTTGAAGTATGTTAGCTAAGTTCAGATATGATTAAGAATGAAGAATTAGAGTGGGCAGACTTTCCTCAAGTAATAATTACTTTCAACTATACTATAAGTAATACACTTCTGAAGAGAAACTGAATGTGAATGAGATAAAAGGTGCATTCTTCTGAGTTTACATTAACGATCTTTTTGAACGTTCTTTGTGGCTGTTGCAGAAACCCCTCTCTTTCAAGTTGCACCAGTTCCTGCAGGACAAACCGCTGTCTCTTGACAGTATCTTGCCACATGTCCCAGTTTCTGTATTATGGTTTAACACTTCAATAGGTAATACATATTAAACCTGGGAGTTACAAGTTTATATAGTACATGAGAGTTGGAGAATTACAGGATAGAAAGGCAAGCAAGAGTAATTTCAAAATGGATGTAGTCTTTCTTTTTAACATTAGCTCGCGGTTTTCACACCTTAGCAGTTTAACAAACATCAGGCTTTTTTGGTGATAAATTGTAATTAGTTACTTGGAACCTGGTTCCATGGAAAACATTTGGCTTGGGTTTCCCATGGTATTCTGAAGTAAAAACTGTTATGTATTGGGCAAAGCTGGATAAGATGTTATGTGCCAGTAGAAAGGATCTGTGCTCCTACTGCTCGTGTGATCAATTGGAAACTGGTAGGTGTCTTGCTACATCTGAAGCAAGAAAATTCTAGATGAAAGGAAAGAATGCCTTCAGCTATCCTGGAAACTTTGAAGCCAGGAGGATATTTACTTGCCACGTATGCTGGAACACTAAACAAACAGAGAAATATGACTTGTTTGTGGAAGAAAAGATTAGGCTATCAGACTTGATTCTGACAGCAAGAGAATTAAGTATTTTTGCAGCTGCTTTTGAAACAGCCAGCTGAAAAGTTTTGATTTTCTGTTTCTATTAATATGCATTTTAGACTTGTGTTTTTAGAAGACTGAAAATTCATGTTTGCATGCAAGGGGGAAACTGTCTTGTCTTCTTCCCCCTGCCCAGTTGTTAACAGGAGCTTTGAGTAAAAAGCTGCTGGGTTTTTTTTTTCCAGTCCTTCAACAATATTTGTAATAATCAGGATTATTTTTTTTTCTTGACTGTCAGAGTATGTGAAAATGTCAGTCACTGGAGGCCAGTAGGTATTTCTTGGTTTACAGCACTAGTAGTAATGTGCCTTTTTTTCATTATTCAAGTACCTTGCTGCCCTGAATTTACAGTTCTGACATTAGGAAATATCATCATCTGTTTGGTCAGAATGTGTAGAAATTCCAGAGAGTCTGTTGAGCTCCATTTGTATAATACTTTCCAGAAGTGTGTTTATTGTAACATTTGTGCCATGTTTTATATTTAATGGTTCTTGCTACCTCTTTTTGAGGTTACTTGAAAGGGGAGAAGTTACAAGTTGGGAAATCACTTCACCCAGTAGCCTTTCCTGCTCTAGACAGACAATAAGTGAACTTTTCTTTTTCAAAATGCTTCTAGTTCCTTATGATTTTGTGAGACTAAAAGTCCATTTTCTTCAGAATTTTTATCACCTTTTTTCCTCCATAATTTAAGCCAGAGATCTTAGTTTTGACACTGCTTTTATTATGTACTTCTTTAATCTGCTTTTCTGAATACTTTGCACAGATATTCAGAAACATCTGAGCTGTATTAAAATGATCTAGATTCTGGCTTTTGTAGTTGAACTTGAGGAGAACAAAGAGTCGTGCAAAGACCAAAATACTTGGGAGGGTGGTAAACAGGGAAACAAACCATCAGTTTCAAAAGAAGTTGCTGTAAAAGCTGTTTATTTATAGAAGAATGTTCCTTCTTGTCCTCTCTATTTCATGTTTGAATATAGATTAATTTTTGTATCACGTATCTGGAAAGACTTTGAGTGTGTTTACTTGCAGTTTCAGTGCAGTAGTTGAACTTTTTTTTATCCTGCTACATGTTAGTTTTCCACTAAAAGTAAAATTGGAGAGCACAGTACAGCAGCCAGTTTCCTGATGTTTAAGATTCATCCTTCTTAGTGTCAGTGGCCAATTGCACAATGATGAATTTCAAATTTGTGTCTCTTTTATTTGATATCCCGTTTTGGTGGTAGTTTAAACCTACAAAACTTGCATTGACTTGGGAGGAAATAGGAACAGGCATTTTATTCAGTGTGCTTGACTTAGGCAGAAATAACAGGAGTGGAACCATTGCTTGACTGATGAGAAATAATATTACAGTACAGTTAGCTTTGCAGAGTCCTTCTTCTAGAAATATGGAAAATAACTGTTGCTTTTTCAAGAAAAAAAAAATCTAGCAATGTCTCTCTCTTTTTAAAAAAGAAGAAAAGTTACATTTGCAGAATGTTTGGTCTTGGTAAGCTTTTTTGTGAATGTTATCTTTTTGTTACGCCTTGTATAGTGATTTACCAATTCGTTATTTTACCTTCTAGGTGAGTTCTCTTGTCTGTCACTGATTGTAACTCTTATGTTCATTTGGAAATGTTTCCAAAGTGACTTTAAAGTCTAATTCCCACTAATTTCTGTGTGAAATATCAGCCACTTGATAATGCCTGTATTAGTTTTAGGTCTTAAACTCATCTTTAAGGTGATAACTTCTGCCTAAGGAACATTATAGGAAGTGTCATATGTACCTTGTTGCAGAAAACACACAATTAACTATTGAAGTTAATTGGGTTTTTTTTTTTGGATGTGCCATTAGTTGTTCCAGACTTCTCTGGGAGGTGAGAGAGAAGGAGGTCCTGTTGCTCTGTTCACAGTTTAATCATTTCCAGACACCCAGCTGGAAAGCAGCTTTGCAGAAAAGGACCTGGGGGTCCTGGTGGACACCAAGTTGACCATGAGCCAGCAGCGTGCCCTTGCGGCAGAGGCAGCTAACGGTGTCCTGGGCTGCATTAAGCAAAGCATTGCCAGCAGGTCGACGGAGGCGATGCTTCCCCTCAGCTCAGCACTGGTGAGGCCACATCTGGAGTGCTGTGTCTAGTTCTGGCCTCCCCAGTTCAAGAGAGGTGCAGGCATACTGGTCAGAGTCCCAACGAAGGGCCACAAAGGTGACAGAGGGACTGGAGCATCTTTCCTGTGGGGAAAGGCTGAGAGAGCTGGGGCTGTTCAGCCTGGGGAAGAGAAGGCTCAGGAGGACCTTATCAATGTGTGTAAATACCTGAAGGAAGGCAGTAAAGAAGATGGAGCCAGGTTCTTCTCAGTGACGGGACCAGAGGCAACGGGCACAAACTGAAACACGGAAGGTTCCCTCTGAACGTCAGGAAACACTTCTTTATACTGTGAAGGTGATCGAGCAATGATACAGGCTGCCCAGAGGGGTTGCAGAGTCTTCTTCCTTGGAGAAACTCAAAAGTCGTCTAGACACGGTACCAGGCAACTTGGGTGTAGGTGGCCCTGCTTGAGTGGAGGGGTTGGACAAGGTGTCCGCCAGAGATCCCTTCCCACCTCAAAGATTCTGTGATTGTCGTGCAGTTTTTCTGAAGTTCGGGGTAATTGAGCTTCCTTTTAATGGGCTCTGAGGGTTTGCTGAAATGGCTGTAAGAGTTATAACTTATTCCCCTGTTTTGTTTCAAAAACATGCGTATCCAGCTGATGAACTCATGCCTTTAACTTGTCGTGGACGAGTACGGGGTCAGGAACCAAGTCGAGGGGATGTGGATGATGCCTTGGGAAAGTTAGTGTTTGAAAATATTACAGTGTAATGTAAACATCTAGGAATCTAAGTACAATTTGCAGCCCATAAAACTTGTTTCTTCAGTTGACATGTCCACAAACTTTGAAAAAATGAAATTTGTTGGAAAAAAAAGATTCTATGGGCATAGACAAATCCATAATTTGTCTCATCAGTTCTCTTATGAGGGTTGGGGAGAAGCTATTGGAAAGAAAGCTGTAATTGTTAACTTCTTGCAAGTTAGGCAGAAATACTTTTATTATTTCCTCCCATGATGTTAACTGATGTGAATTTGTACCCTAATCGGAAAAAGAGAATTGACCAGTGAATGAGATCCAAAGATAGGTTTGGGTTTTTTTAAATCATTCTCCAAGTATTTTCCATAGGAAAGCCTTCCAAATGTGAGCTCACATTTATGCTGTTAGTAAATTTGACTGCTAAATAAGGGTTATAAGAGTTAATTGTCAGCTGCACAGAACAGTAAACTGTTATCCATTATGCTGGCTGTAAGTGATGTTTAAAATGCCCCCCCCCCCCAATTTTTTTTTATGAAGCCACTCTTCAATGTCCCCCCCCCCCCTTTTTTAGTAGAAAGCTCTATGAAAGCATAATTAGTCAAATGATTATCATGTGTGTGGTACCCTAAGGCCTTTGCCAAAGTATAAAACATTATTTCAGACATGGAAATTCTTTGTATATTTTCTTTCAAGATAGCTTATAATACAAAGTACTGATCCTCTGGCCAACAAAGGACTGTTTTTCTCCATGTTAAATTGAACCATCAAAGACAAAGTTCAATTACTCTAAATGTGTTTGTAATTGATTTTTTTTTTTCACAAGGAATGTTACCTGTGTGTGCTGCTTATGTTTATAGAGCAAATACTTAATAACAAATAGCTGATGGGGTTTTTTTATTGGTATCATTGCTTAGTATCCCTAGGCAGAGTAGTGTTAATCAAAGCTGAAGTCCTTGTCTTAAATACTACCTCTCAATATCATAGAGAGAATTAGCATGTCATTTTGGTTATTTTTTGTTATGTACTAAAGTTCCTTAGTCTAGAGATTCTTATATAAGCCTGCTGCCCTGGAGGTGTTGAGAGATATATGGCTGATGAGAAAGAAGTGTCAGAAAATGTATTTTTAATCCTGGTCATGCATTCTTTTTAATGGCCTTTTTTTACATAGTAACATACTATCATTTGAGTAAAAACACCTTTCAGCCCCTTAAATGCATTCTACTGGATGTCTTAGATTTGATTGGTGACTAGAAATAAAAATGTAATTTGCTTAGAAGAAGTTTGAAAGTTTTGCAGTAAATAAAGTTATCTTTATAATCATAGCTTCTTTCAGTCAGCTCACTAACAAAGGGAAGAAACTTAGTAGGGTGTTTTGATATTAAACATATTGTGTACAACTAATTTTTTAGCAGCTAGTGGTCTGTGAGAATTTAGTTTCTAATGGTATTGATTACTATTAAAAGTTCCTTAATTTCTACACATATAGGTCTATAGTAAATCTGTTTTAAATTTTGTTTCATAGGTTTTCACTGACCTTGATTGATACCTTGGACACTCTTGTGGTAAGTTTAATCTATTGATAAACTTCGATAAAACAAAAAAAAGTCTTATTTTTTGATGTCTATTTTCTTAATTTATATATAAAAATTACTGATCTTTCTTCGCCTTTGATCTCTAGCCACCTGTTTAAAGTGGCTATTGCTTGTAAGAACTTTCAGGTGCTCTGTTGGTGGTATTTGGAGTTCATTGCAAAAGGAATACCAGAACAGTTCCTTCGCATTTCATTGATGCTTTCTTATCTTGCTTTTTTGGGGCTCTAACTTAAGAAAAAGTTTGCTTCCCGTTAGAGTCTAAACCCACATGCTGACTTACGGGTGAACATCTCTTACTGCCTACTGAATTATTTATGTTTTTACACTGTATGTACATGTTTCATAGATGAATTTGTGCGCGGTTAAATATATGTTAAAAAATCCTGCAACCCTGGACATGTTTGCCAGGAAATGTTGCCAAACTTCCATTCTGTCTCTTATTAAAAGACTCAAATCATTAATAAACTACTTTTTGTTAGATTTCATTCCCTTTGACATATTTTGTCATCATAAAATAGGGTTTGGAAATTAGGAATTTTTGGCCATCCATATCTCCAGGTAAACAAATCGAAAAAGCATTGAAAATCCTGACTGCACTGATTTGGTGCATGAATCATATAATGCTCTTTCTCTGACAGCCGTTCCCTCTCTATGATGTACTGTGAGATGACCCTTGGCTCTTTCACACCAGCACCACAAATGTTGAAAATGTGGAGTCTGGAACTCCCAGTCTCTACCAGACACTCAAATGGATTCCTGTGGTTTGTTTATTGTTTTCTTGGCTTAGAGCAGGATTAACACTTGTGGAATTTAAAGGCACTTTCAATAACAAATTGGATAAGTCACAAAGATTCTTAAAGATCAATTGAACTAAAAGAAAGTCAGTGTGAAAGAAAATCTGTAGGAAATGCCCAAGCTGTTCTTCAAGCACAAGGAGAAAACTGTTGAGAGGAAGAACACTGCTGGGAAGATTCATCAAGCTTAGGATATGGCTTCTTAGTCCATAGACAGGAGTCTTCTGTGAAATCAGAGCCATCGGAGCAGGCCAGTCTTTGCCCACTCTGCCAGCACAGCCCCCTGAGTCCCCTTGCACTACGGTCATGGCGTGGGAGCAGGGGAAGGAACAAACAAATAAATCCCTGGGTAATAGTTTAGGTACATTCTCAGTGACTTTATTCTTTGCGTACAGCTTTTCTTCTCTTTCATGTGTCTCATGAGAAAAGCAGTAATATTAATGTCTGTTTGCACAGTATCAGAGTATGCCCCTGCAGGACCAGAATATCAATCTAAGGCATGTTAAATGCTTGCTTTTTTTTTTCTTAATTCATTGCACTTGTTCTTCCACACCTGAGTGTGACTGTATTAGCTATGTTGGAAACTAAACACCTGGTTACATTTGTATTCCAGGTGTTAAATAAAACCAAAGAGTTTGAAGAGGCTGTAAAAAAAGTAATAAAGGATGTTAATTTAGATAACGACATAGTTGTATCTGTCTTTGAAACCAACATAAGAGTCCTTGGGTGAGTAACTTTTATGTTTTCAAAACTCTCAAAAATGTGGTTTTTAGCTAAATGTCCTTAAGGCACACCTTTCTCTGCTATTTCACCTCATTTAAAACACTTGTGCCTTTGTCAGTTAGCATAGCTCAACACCTGCCCTAAGGAAGGTATTAAAATGCTAGGCAGGAATCGATGCAGTGGTACTGAATCAAGTTGACCCCCATCTAACTGCTGCAGGCGTAGCTGTTTCGATTAAAAAAAATTGTGCGTGCTGAGGTAGCAGTGTTTTTTCTTAATGGAAACGGTCTTACAGATTACACTGGTCAATACTTGATTTAACAGAATAATTCAATACTTAGGGTAATAGGTTACTTCAGATGGGAAGGGACCTCTGGAGGTCTCTGGTCCAACTTGCTGCTCAACGCAGGATCAGAGCAGGTTAGTTTTAAGCTATTATATGCAGTTTGAGGTGTTGGTGGTTATTCTTGGCTAACTATATTGATGAATCGATGATTCCTCTACATTTTGGATCTGAGTCCTAAACAATAAGAATTGCTTCCAAAATACTGGTAGCTAACCTTGATTATAATTGGGAGTTGTCTGCTCCGCATTTCTGAAAATTAGGGCCATGTGAATATAGCAGTTACGTACATAGACATGTAAATTGTCGAAATTTTTGCCTTGCTGTTCAGATGAATATACCTATTGAGATGTGGATAACTTGTCTTGTGTTTAGAGGTCTCCTAGGTGGGCATTCGGTGGCAATTATGCTGAAAGAAAAAGGTGAATATATGCAGTGGTACAACGGTGAACTTCTGCACATGGCAAAGGAACTAGGTTACAAGCTTTTACCTGCTTTTAACACCACTAGTGGTCTCCCTTATCCAAGAGTAAGTTCTCTGGTTTCTGCAATTCAGAATTACTTCTGTAAGCAGAATTTTTGTTGTTTTGTTTTTATCTCTGTTTCTAAAATCACTTGTGTATTTATTAAATAAATCGGTCATTTGTAATATATGCTACCTAGTATTTTTAAAATACAGTTTTAATCTCTCTGAACCCCTACACTTCCAGCTCTGAAAATTCTAGTATACATTGTTGTGGGTAAATAGTAACTGCAGAAATCTTGTCTAATCACTTTCTACTGATTTCTTGCTCCCTGCTACTGTGGGCACCACCACGTAGCCAAGGAGAGTGATTTTTGGTTTGGTACGTATCTCTCACTGAGACCATGAAAGAGCAACTTGCAAGCACTTGTTTGTGAATTTAGCACAAAACTGATTAACATTCATGGTGTACATCCACATTTTTAAGAGGGTAAAGGTGTAGCTGTAATCTAAAAATACTCATTTAATGTAAAAACTTTCATCAAATTCAAGCAAAGCATGGCATGTATTACTTGAATGACAAAACTAATTCCCATGCATATCATCCATTGTGAGATGTGGCTTTGATTGGAAACTGTCCCATAAATTAAAAATTTAGGCTCAGTAAATCAGCATTCTTCTAGTGAAAAATGTCTAATTCAAAATGTTCAGGGTTTGACAATCTCCTGCTGAGAAGGCCCTCTCCAGTGTGCAGAAACTTATGTTGCGCCCACAACAAAAGTGGGTCAATCTAGCAGGTAGTCTCTGGAGCCAGGGAGTGTAAATTCTTTCCACTAGTAAAAATCAAGATGATAATCTCTGCTTTTCTCTAGGTTAACTTAAAATTTGGTGTAAGACATCCAGAAGCACGAACAGGAACAGAAACCGATACCTGTACAGCTTGTGCAGGTACCTTGATCCTTGAGTTTGCAGCTTTAAGCCGATTCACAGGAACATCTATATTTGAGGTTTGCTTTCCATGATATCTTACTTTTTGGGGTTAGGTATTCATTAGTGTTCTGTTACATTTCTGTAATTTTGGAATAATAATTTTGAGTTTATCAAATGGGTGCATATCTTAACTGTTCTGCACAAAAGGTTTGCATGTGTTCAGATTTGTTGCGTTTATGGGCTTTTTGCCTAAAAGGATTAATTTGACCGTTTAAAAAATACGGGAAGTAATTTTGTTTGAAAGTAGTTACAGTAATACTGAAGTAAACAAGATAAATATACTGAAGACTAGCTAAAGGATAAAGTTGTGTAGGCAAGCACCATTCTTTCAAATCAGCCACAGAATAAGTATGTATATAACATGTGGACTGAGCGTCCTACTATTTAAGTGTATGTAAGGGAATACTGAGTTTTATAATTGTTAGATACGAAACATCTATGAAACATTACTTCATAGCATCTTAATTTCAATAGACAGAAGAATAACAGTTTTTAGTATCTGTGTTTCTCTATAATTTCCTTTAATGAGTGTTTTTTGTTGTTGCAGGAATATGCACGGAAAGCGCTTGATTTTATTTGGGAAAAGAGACAGCGCAGCAGCAATTTAGTGGGCGTTACTATTAATATTCATACTGGAGACTGGGTCCGCAAAGGTGCGTGGTATTCTGACTCAGAATCAGTGACCACAAGTGGTTTGGGACAAGAAGAAAAAAATCTTGACGCACACCCTCTCTACCCCCTGACGCATTTATCTAGGCAGTTTAAAAATATTAATGGGATAGGCAAGTGGATAACATAATTTCAGTGCTGCAGAAACCTGCTACAACGAAGCCTGGCTTTGCTCTGAAAGGGTGTTTTTGTAGAGAAACTGGTTTTATTCATTGCAAAGAAAGTGTTCTCTGATTCACTTTAATACTGAGAGGAATGCCTTGGGATAATTTTTCAGAGATTCTACTATAAATACATAGGAAAAATATAAATAGGACTGTGGTTGTGTATGGCAGCCAGTAGAAATATTTTCATACGAGAAAAGTGAAACAACTGGCTTCAGTGCATGTCTGTTCATACTATTATGTGCAGTGATATTGCAAAGCCTTTAGCGTAAACATACAGTATTGTGTCTCTGCATCCATCTGTGCCTTAATTCTAGTGATAGGAGGCTTTTCCTTTTACTGAAAGAGCCGTTGAAATGAAACCATGTGAAAATACCCATCTAACTACTTAAAGTAAAACCAGCTTCTCATTTTCTGCTGTTTCTAGATAGTGGAGTTGGAGCAGGAATAGATTCGTATTACGAATATTTATTAAAAGCCTATGTCTTGCTGGGAGATGACAGTTTCCTGGAAAGATTTAACACGGTAAGTTAACACCTTGCTCAGGTTTGTGCCATCTGTAAGGCAAATTTAAGACTAATTGTATTGTCAGTCAGCTTTTAGCCTGAGAAGCCTATGAAGGGTTCTTTAGCAGAATTTCTGTGACTTCTGATGTGTCTAGGGCCAGCTCTTTTGGAGCAAGAAAAAAAGATGTGAAAATCAAAGTCTGAATCTTGCATTGTACTGCAATCCAAAGGCCCAGCGGACGTTTAAGTACGCACTTTCAAGCTGAAAAAA